CAATTATAATGGAATATACAGTCAATGTATGGATTATTGGGATGTATGGATTATTATGGATCTTGTATGGATTATTTATGTAAGTTATTTCGATGAATTTAGTTTACTATTAATAAATGTAATTTAAAATAAACACAAAAGTCATTCCAACTATGAAGTATGCAATATATATATTGTTTGTTTACCTTTGATAACCATGAAGATCACAAACATCTACTTTACTTGAATACGAAAAATAAACCATATTTTGTACCCTGTCAACAGTAAGTGCTTCGAGAGATAATAAATCAGAGGCAATGATAACTCTATTATGGCCATCAATACGAGATCTTATTACTCTGTGTTGACTTCCCAAATCAGTCCAATAAATATAACTAGAATTTTGAAATAAATTAATCTTATTAGATAACTATAAATCATAAAAAATACAAATGTTTACCCTTTCTCGGGATGTATCGCCAAATTTCTTGGTTTTTCCCCATCAAAACTTTTAAATACAGATCCTTGGAAGCTGCTATTTGTTAAACGAGTAACATTTATAGTATCCGTTACAGTACAAGTCCAAAACAATAATCTATTATATGGATCCAAAGCGAGATCATATAAATTATATGTATTGCCATTGTTTCCAATAAACATATTTGGATTTGAACCATTCTCGTGACAACGTTTAATCATCTGTGTCCTGCCATCAATCTAAAAAATATATAATTGTACAAACATAAGCTAAGGTTCTTAGGAAATTAATAATATAATATAAAATCATTTTACCCAATAAATCATGTGTGATATTGGATCATATTCAACTGCTTTTACATGTTTCAGTCCTATAACGGGGAGTGAAGAATCAGAAGAATCATCTATATCCATTACCACCCTATAAAATGTTGTTTTCTGTGCCACAATCAAAAAACTATTTGGTGCTAAAAAATAAATATTAGTGATTGAGATTGAGATTCTAATTTTATTAAGTTAAAATGTAGTTTGTAAAATTTAAAGGAGCTGTGAAACTGCGATTAAAATATTTGAGTAGTTTTTTGTTAATTTGTATATTAATACATTTATTTCTTTAAAAAAAATGTTAAGCCAAAAGGATTTAATTAGTTGAATATTTTTCCAAAAATTGTATTTACCTGAGCAAGTGTTATTTTTAAATAATGTGAAATGTGTTTCGCATGAACAGTGATATGGCAATGGTTCATAATCTTTTGTTGATCCTTTTACAAGACACAATTGTTGGCATCCTCCATTATTTATAGCACATGGATTTGTTCCGGTTTGACTTAATTTATCAAAGGTTATCAAGTCCGTAACATGATCTAAATTTATCTTAGTTTGCTTTAAAATTATACCACTTTGAATATCGACTTGGAAATAAGTTCCATTTGTCCAATCCAACCAGTATAAAGAACCCTAAATTGTTTCAAATAATTAATACAAAAATTGACAGTAAACTACAGCTATTTAAAAACAGATATGTAACTTCTTTTACCCTGAAATATGTTATTGCAGACGGGTAACTACCATAAGGTATAGAGACAATTTTACTTTGACGTCTTCCGTTCAAATCAATACTTTCAATGGATCCACTATTTGGTGTCAATGTTGTCCAATAAATCAAACCACTGTCATAATCTGAAGTAATACTTATGACTCTACCAATTTTATTTATTAAACAATGTTTCCCTTCACCGTTCATAGATGATTTATGAATTGAACCAGTAATTCCATCAAATTCACTCCAATACATAAATCTAATAAATAAGGAAAATATTATAAGAATGAAATCTATGTATATTATATTACACTAACCCTTTTTTAGGATCTAGTAATAAATTTTTCGGGTTTTTGATGTCATTCCAAAGTAAAACTTTACGCATAGTTCCATCTAATCTAGACACTTCAATTCGCTTAGTGCCAGAATCACACCAATATAAGTTACCACCAATCCAATCAACAGCTAATCCTATTTAAGATAAAAAATATTTATTTGAACAATCTGTACACAATAATTTATGAATTATAATAC